TTATTTTACTAATGTAATTAGTAAGCAGCAAGTCCATCTGTCCATTTGTTGTTTCTGTAAATAGCATCTCAAACGTTTCTCCACATTAGTAAACTTCCCTTGAAACTGATTCCTTCTGAAAAGATTTTGTGCAATATTCAGTTAAAACGTTGTCGGGGCGAGAGTCTGACAATTATAAATGAACGGCTCAGGAATGTTTAAGTGATAATCTTTCAATTAGGCCACTACGTATTCTTTTTCTAGACACTTGCTTAAAGTTTGCGAATCTTCAAGTCCCCTTGTGTAAGGTTGGGCCTGTGCTGTGGAGATTACACCTTCTGAAGCATTTTTCCTCCAGGAAGAATAGGACGCTGGCTGGCTTTCCGGGAGATTTTCCAAAGCTATTTTGGAGTATTGTGCAACAGTCAAAGTAGTATGAGTCCACGGCGGTCAGGTTGCTCGAACAACGATTGCTGCCAGTGATTGTGATGCATTCGCCATACGATTATTCGGAGAAAGCTCTCTTGCTTTACTGCCGGTCGTAGACTTTCGACGAGTATTGTGGTCAGTACGGTCTTTCCGAAGTATTATAAGGACGTTAAATAATGCTTAGTCCTCGACGCTGGCCAGAGTTACGAGGAAAGCTACTCATACCCGTTTCCTATTTCTGGTACCGTAGTAGCGGGGCCGCCCTCCTCGTGAATTATTGTATTTATTGAGGGGGAAGTGAATTAACGCTTATTCAATTAAGCCTTTGTGCTGTTAGGCGCCGTGAAGATGAGACTTTCATGGCAGGTATATGAAGAGGAATCTGTCCTCTGTCCGCAGGGTAAGATTATGTTAAGGATATGAGTTTATGCTTCGATTTGAATACTTGGTGGCATTTTTATGTTTCAACTGAGCTATGAATCATGCTTTAAAACAACTGCATAGAACAAACGAAAACCACCAGTGTTGGGTATCAAACCGTTCGGTCTAAGCTCCGTGCAGTCTCTTTTTTACTTATTCTTTTGTAAATAAGTTGTTGTTGTTGTTGTGGTAGTTGTTTGTTCTGAATTATTTGAAAAAAAAAAAAAAAAAAAAAAAAAAAAAAAAAAACGGATTGCCTTTGAATACAAATAATTTCGATGATTTGCAACACAATTGTTAGCTCAGCGATACTTTGCCTTCTTATGTCGACGTCGTCGTTTAGGTTTTTGGCTTTTGTTTTTGCATGTTCAATTCTGTGTGTAGAGTGTGAGTTTATGTGTGAGTGCTTTTTCTTGTTTATTGCATACATTGTTTGCTTTTGTTTTCGCCCAAGATATGGATGGCATTGCAACGTGTTTTTGTAAAATTGTTTACGGCGTTTACTATTGTATTACAGACTAACATCGCTGTATAGTTATTATGGAATTTTGTAAGACTTTAGAGGAAATAGTCACACATATATACAGACAAAGGTAGACAGACATTCAAAAGAAATCAAATCACCGTACAAATATATTACAATTTAGAGGTTTTTTTTTCTTCATTTTATTTTCTTTTTGCAAAATACGGTTTGGCAAGACACGAAACATACGAGATGAGCGTATTCGCAATGAGTTCACATTCTCAAACGCATTCGCAAACCGACCAAAACGAAACGTCATTTATGACTCTTTTGTTTTGTTATTTCTTTTTCGACTCCCTTTTTTTGCCTCGTCAATTACTTGCTTAAATGTTTTTCATTTTCAAACCTTTTTCAAGCTTTTCTCTCTCTTTTTCTGCTTCTTATTCTTTTATTCTTTGCAATGTAATGGTATTGTATAAGTGCGAAACTGTTGCTAATTTAAAAATTTGCTATAACTGTGTTTAAAATAGTTTCTTTTATAGTCGCAACCATTACAGTCACACCAGGCATTGTTACTTACTTACGTAAAAGTGTAGAGAAGAACACATATTGCAGCCGCTAGAATGACAGTGCATTCTTGATGAGAAAGACCTTCCTACTTAAAGTTGTTATAGAGCAATTCACCAACAGTTGTCATCTCGCCTACTTATCTATCTGGTCAAATTCACATAATGTCACACCGCACACTAAATAAGGTTAAATTTTGAGACAACAATCGAGATAAAGGGATGCTTACGGTTACGTTGAGAAATTCCTTAATCAAATTAAGCAAAGGTAATCAATGATTTTACCTGCAGCATATGCATGCTTTACATCAGTTTTTTTCTTTTTTGCAAAAAACGGTCTATGAGTTCATATGAACTTTAAACAAGTAAAAGCATTATAATGGGCAACGGCCCTTATTCATATAGGTATACATCAGTATATATATATATATATATGCAATGCGTTATATGAAACGTGGTCAAACAAATAGTCCAAACCATTTTAATTACCATTGCTCCTTCGGCCAAAACGGGTCGATTTACTAAATTCCATCAATATATCTTAAAAATTGTACGGTCGAGCTTATGGCGGACGGACAAGCCTAAATCGACCTACACAGTAACTCTTAATTGATCGGTACAACAAAAGGTGGTTCTGTCTCAAGCCCTCCTCCTCGCAAACTTCGCCAAACCCTTTCACCATATGTGGGGTACGGTATAAAAATGCATAGAAAGCAAATCGTGTTTCGAAAAGTTTTCTTAGTTCCTCACTAAGTAAAAATACCTTTAAACGCTTTCAGTCGTTTATTTTGTTCTCCTTCCAATTATTGAAATACCGATGCCTCATATATACTGATGCAAGATGATATTCCCTTGACTCACTTCTCTGCTGGATTTGCCTCAGCAGTCAAGATTAACGTAGGAAATTGAAGACACTGATCTATCCAAAATAGTAGATTCATATTAAGCTGAGCTTACTAACCAGACCTAGTCTAGATATATTTAATCATTCCAAAATGGACTGTAAATTTAACACATCGTTCAATAATCCTCGGCACTAAATAAGAGTGTATATCATTTCTTAGGGAAGAATCCTATCTATCATTAAACGTAATACTCATCAATAGATATATGTGTTGTTATCACTTCGTTCCCCACGGACAATTATCAAATGTGGTGCATTATAAAGTGAAAGTTTGACTATTTATATATGTTTCAAATAAATCTTTAACTTTGTAGTAAGTAAGAAAAAATATTGTTTTTTCATCGTCTCCTTCAAATCTGACGCAGTCGGCCCAACAATTCTTTAGCTCTTTGATTTCTTTTTTTAGAGAACAAGTTCTTGAGATCCTCGAAATTCACGTCAATTTCCACAATAATCATATCATCATTTGATTTAAACCTTTTTCCCTACAGCATTTAATTGAGAATTGCAAGGAGTTAACAGTCGCTGGCGGTCAAATCTGGAAAACAATCATCCAGTATAGGCTGGATGGCCAGATTTCTTGAATATGGCAACAATAATAAAGCGGACGGACGAAGGCGCAAAATTCAATTAACTCAGGCTCTTATGCCTTGTGTCCATCTTATATGAGAAAGAGAAAATATTAAACCACCTTTCTTTGACAATGTACACACACACACACACACACAATTCAGTTGATGGCATATATATGAAAATGAATGTCAGCGTCACCAAAGAAATAGGAAAGAGAATGTATCAATATACCAGATAGATGTTACAATGGGCTTAACTTTAAAAAAAAAACATTTTCGAACTAAAAAAGAAAAAACATTAAAAGTAAACCGAATTATCCAGCTATTGTGAATATTTCATGGGCCCAATAAGTAAAACTGATAAAAAATACTATATAAAAAAACTTTGAATGCATCAGTCGTACGCTGAAGACTAACACAGTTCTCATCATAACACTGGTTTTCCTGAAAAATAAATCCATAAAAATTAATTTATAAAAGGGATTTCTCAAACTACCCTCGTAGAAGTGTTTTTCTTTTTTTTTTTTCTTTTTTTTTTTAGGTTTTTCACATTAAACTAAAGAAATCATTATCTCATTCTATTAACAAATTGTCTGAGTTCTTGATTACTTGAAACAAATTCTTTCCCACCGTTCTTTACAGCGCAGAGAGCGAGAACCGAAAGAAAACTCTTAAAATTCCACAGATCATGTTCAGGTTTTTCCTTTTTTTTTTTTTCTTCTCATTCTTCCTCTTTGCTTATTTCCTTTTGTTGAGTTGCGTTTAACAAAAGCCCATAAACAATCAATTTATTATTTCAACTGTTGAAAAACTGTTCGAAACAAGGGAATGTGAACTACAATGTGTAAGTGATGTTGACATTAAGTCTCCTTATCGGATAACAGAATGATTTATGTTACGATGAACATTGTTAAGTCAGTGTTATGAACTCAGTTGGCATTGTAATAAAATTACCCAGATCCAGGCACAGTTACAGTCCGACCGACCGGACGACCAATCGACCGACCAGCCGACCATACATACATACATACATACATACAGTCATTTATAAGCTCAGTTAGGTGTTCGTTTGATCGTTTCTTTAAGTTTCTTTATTATTTCTTTCTTTCTTTCTTTCTTTCTTTCTCTTTTTTGAATTGAACACTTGTTCCTGTTATTGTTAGTTATGACGGTATAAATGTAATTAAAATCGCATTTCACTTTCTACAGCCTGCCAGTCGGCACAAATTCGCAAATTCTTCTACACAAACATTGATGACAATTTAATTACCTTTAAAATGAATAAAAGAAAAGCTTTTATGCGAATGACGTCAAGTTAAACTTAACTATATTTTTTTTCTCTTTATTTCTTTAAGAGACTTAAGCAGCTGGTAGCAGCTGTTAAAGTCACGTTTAGAAATCAAGCACCCACTCGCCCGCCAGCCGCACAATAAAACATAAATTTTAACAAAATTATAGCAAGAATTTTTATGCATGCATTTTGTATGTACATCGAGCGCATATGTAAACCTATTTGATCGACATAAGGCTGGTTCTTCGAAACTTTATAAATATTTTTCCCTCCACTTTCCAATTTTATTCCTCTTCTGTTAATGCAGGAGATTTAATTTTTTTGTTTTTTCCTTCCTTTTTTTTTATTGTTTTATTTGTTTTTTTTTTTTTTTTAGGTGCTTACCCCGTCATTGTTATTCGCATAAAGCAATCGGGATGTCATGACTTTGTATCTTCTTTTTTCGTTTTGCATGGATTTTTTCAAAAAAGAAACGTCCCTGCTGTGTGGAGTTTTAAACAAAGTTGCAGTTTAGCTTTATGCCATAATAACAGGGGAGAACGCGTGGGCCACCATCATGTCGGCCGTTAGCAATAATTTGAAAATTAATGGAAATTTGATATCGAGTGCAAATTCCGCTGCCAACAACTACAACAGCAATAACAGCAATAATAATAATAATAATAATAGCAATAGCAATAACAACAACAACAACAACAACAACATCAATTCAATACAAAATCATAAGAGTAATAATCATCATCATCATCATAATCATCATCACCCGCAAATCAGTCATCATCATCATCAGCATAATAGCAACGAACAATCTTCGCAGTCTTCGGCTGCGACAACAGCAGCAACAACAACGACAACATCAATCCATTGTAATCCCGCTGTAATTGGTAGTAAATTGCAAGCACCGCAACAACATCAAAGACGTTCGTTAATACCAGCAGCTACGCTTCAACAGCAGAATATAACCGCACACACATCGTCTGCAACCGCAACGACAACAACAACGCTAACACTGCCTCAGGCAAATCAATTGCAGACAATAGCCACAATTCATCAGCCGTCCATACAGCATCCAATCGGAAATACGACTACGAACTCTGCCTCCTCTTCCTCACCAGCTTCATACGATTCACCGGCTGTGGCTACAGCGACCTTAAACGGTAATACGATAACGACAATCACTAGTGGAGCAAACAGCAACATTGCGAATAACGCCCAACAGCAACAATCGCAGCAGCATTTTTCCCTTAGCGAGCATCCTTCTGCCACTTCGAACCAACAGCAGCCATCGCAAACAGCAACCCGCCGTAGTTTTTACCATTTACAAACACTTAAAGCAACCAACAATAATAACAACAATCTTAAAGCTCCTGCTCACACTATACCGCCACGTTATCAACCACCACCACATCCGCCCACTCAATATCACACTAGTATACTAAAGAATTTGCATTCGCAAAGAATAGCCGGCAATTCAACGGGAGGCAACAATAAATCCTATACGCCGTATTTTATCGATACGAACGCAAATCCGTTCGGTAATTTAAAATATCCCCCGGACATACCGCAGCTATCTAGTGTTTACATACCGGAAACGATTAAAACGCAAAGCAATTCAAATAATTCACGTTATTTATCGCAACAACGTCAAACGAGCGTAACACAGCAAAGGCTACGCAGTAGTATTGGTGTTGGTGGCGGTGGTAGTGGCGGTACCACTAGTGGGCAGCAGCAGCAGCAACAACAACAACAAATAAACGGTCATCATTTGCTTACAAATAACGATACGCAGCAGCAGCAGCAACAACAACAACAACAACACCAGCAGCAGCAACAACACCAACAGGATATGTTGAAATTTGTACGAAAATCGGAGCAAGATCATCCTTCACCCAATTCAGTAACATCGAGTGGAACTGGCGGGGGCATGAGTCTTGTGAACAACGGCGGACGTTTGAGTGCCGAGCAAAATCGTCAATTGCAATCATTGATTACCGAACTGCGAGCTTTGAAAGAGCAAAACCAACGTCTTATGGATGATAATCAGGAATTGCGCGATTTATGCTGCTTTCTAGACGACGATCGTCAAAAAGGCCGAAAACTGGCAAGAGAATGGCAACGTTTCGGTCGTTATACGGCCAGTGTCATGCGTCAAGAGGTGGCCGCCTATCAGGTAAGATTAAGTTGAATTTTCTCACACGTCCTTATCGGTTGCGTAGACAAGAATATTTTCGTTCAGTTTAAGGACGAAATTTAAGGTTACTCGTTAAGCAACTCCTCTTCGATCATTTTGATGGTAAACGGTTTTTTTTTTATTGATCGCATCCGGCAATCTTTGATCGACCGTTTTTTTTTGGTTGATCGGCGAAGTCGCCAACTTCCGACTAAAGTTAAGATTAGTTGTCCAGCTTTCGCTTGATAGGTTTTTTGGTCGATTGGGACACATTTTCTTATGGGTCGCGTAGCGATTTTGATAGTAAAGAACAGATAAACCCAGCAGTTTAATTTTGTCATCAATTTTGAAGCGTTCTCTGAAAGAGTCTGGTCTCTGGGTATCTGGTCTGTTAAAGGGATGCTAAACAAATCGTGGAAACAATTTTCATTTAATTGGTAAGTCTCAGGTGACTTTTGATCAATAGTGGACATGAGCTTAATTGTTTCGACGAACAAGACAACCTACAACACCCATACGAACTTGGATCGATATGTAAATGAACCAATAAATAAACACAAACATGTCACCCAATATTTCTTCTTCTTCAAATGTTAATATTGATATGAAAGCGACTTTTTCAATTTTTGATGTAAATTCTTAGAACAAATTGCGTCAATTGGACGATAAACAGCAAGAACTTATCACCGACAATTTAGAATTAAAAGAATTATGTTTGTATCTGGATGAGGAACGGGCGCATATAGCAGCAAATTCAATGTGCGTAAATTGCGGCGCTTCAACACGCAACGCTCTAAGAGACGATGGTGACGGGAGTAGTTCTAGTACAAATAACGATGAAAATATAGCCGCCCTCAGAACATACGAACGTCAAATACCAGTAAGTAAAATGAACATAAAAATCTTATTAATCTATATAAATATGTAGATGCAATAATTCGACTATTAACGTTTGTGTATAGGATTTGCATTTGCGAACTTCTTTGCAAGATCAAACGCTCCAGTACGTACGCTCATTGGAACGACGTATACAGCAATTAGAGGAGGAGCGTATGAATAATAATAATAATAACAATACAAATCTTGCTACAGCCAATGTACTGATAAAACAACAACAGCAACAACAGCAGCATCAGCATCAGCATCAGCAACAACAACAACAACAGCAACAACAGCAACAACACATTCAAACGTCTACAACTGTAACCCAAAAATTACCACAAACAACAACGACAACAACGACAACGACTATGTCACCATTGGCTGATGGTCTTGTCGACCCGATATCAGGCCGACCTGAAGCAGTAGTACGAGCTTTACAGGTTCTAGAGGTGCGGGAGCAATTGGAACGCGATAGACTGGGCAATTTAAATGGTCATACTATCGATCAAATGGACGATGGCGAAAAAGCGTTAGTACGTGAAATGTGTAATGTTGTGTGGCGTAAATTGGAAGGTAGTCCAAATGGTCCAACAGCCTTAGAGCCATTGTAGAAGTTTATATCACGATTAAGTTTTCTTTCATTTCATTTTCATTTACAATTATAATTATTTATATAATTAACCCACAAATCTCCGTATTAATCGAATATATATATACATTGGGTTGGCAATAAGCAAATCTTCAACTTTTTTCTTTCGCCGAATTAAATGAATAAATGGAGAAAGAGAAAACGGGAGAGAGTGACAGAGAGAGAAGTAGAATGCCTCAAGAAATTCTCCGGAAATTGCTTTCTTGCCAACCTAATATGTATGTACCTACTACATACATATAGCACAAATGTATCCTTTGCCCTTTGAAAAGGATGTGATTTTGTGTAAATGAAACCTCGGCAAGAAGATAACTGCTGTACAAATGATTGGAAATCCTGCCTTTAACTAACTTGATAAGCTTTAAATAATTAACCATAAGTTTATAAGTTTAATAATGATAACAATACAACAACAAGTAAAATCTAACATTTAACTGTTATACCCAACACCAAAAATTTTAAAAATATTTTTATATATAAAAAATTAAAATATTAATAGAAATTGCAATGAATTAATTTATGTGCCAGTCCGTTGAACATTTCCCTATATGGCCTTTAAACTGTTTGAACTGTTTGAAACTGTTTCCAGAAAGTGATTAATAAAAATGTTTGTACTAAATAGGTGAAGGGTATCCAAAATTCGGCCTTAGTCGACTTCAATATTCTCATTTATTTAATTTTTAATTTCACCCTCATACCCATCATAAACAAGACACACAATATCAAATATATATTTTAAGTAATATATCATTTTGATTATACGGCACCTTACATACCGACTCACAATTATATATATTTTCGAAAAATTTAAAATAAAATAAATACATAAATAAAATACTTTAAAAACATGTTTCTTTTAAAAAAAATGAATTAGAGCACGTGCTAAGAGAAGGAGGGTAATGGCGCTGGTATCACATTTTTAAAAATTATTCCAACTTTTCAGCTTTTTCAGGTATCGCTGCGATGCCCGTTCATTACAAATATGTATAGAACAAAAATGGACGAAGGGACGGATCCAAGATAACTAAATATATTTTGCGGATTTTTACTTTAGCAACTATTAAGGCTCATAATGTGTCATTCCGTCAAAAAAGTAGCAGGAATTGTCAATCTCAAAACCACATTTTTATTCTGTACATCTTTGAAGTGCGGTTCGTTTGAAATGATATTTTTAAGTTAACATTTTGTACTAATTGCAAGATTTTCCGAGAGCTTTGTGATGGTTTCTCGTAGATCTCTTCGCAACGTAAAGCAATTCAAATCCCGTTCCATAAATAGTGCATTAGTTTTCTGCAATAAGGAAACGTCATATCATGTCAGGGCTAAGGTACGCAATACTTGAGCAATTATTTTAGTTAGTTAGTTAGTTTTCACCTAAATTCGAGAGTCGTCAGCTATAGCGCTTTTTATCTTTTTATCAATAATGTAATCAACGTGAAGCAAATGATAAGCCTATCAACACTCGAAGTTATTACTTCCAAACTGAAGTATGGTGTCGGCCAAATAGAAATGAAAAAAGGGAAAGAGACAGGGGATGGTCGCAGCCTAGCGGATGCGTTCTCCAATCGGTAAGTATTACGCCAACACCGATCGGGTGAGCACTCACTGTAGCTGCAGAAAAAGTGAACTCAGCGAACATTGATTTCGTAGTCGGAACTCTTATCTATTCGGCGAGTCTTGGGTATAAAATCCCTACTACGGATACTATGCAATCAGCACATAAAGAAGATAGGAGAGGAAAGGGTCGAACGATGAGCCGTATCGTAGCTTTGCCTATCTATGACTTTTTTCCGATATTGTGAACTACGTGAGTAAGCGGACACACGGACAAATATGTTTTAGTCGATATTAAACTTTATATCCAAAGATGCCTTAACGAGAATCTTGAGACCAAGTTACCAACCTATTGATGGAATTAGTGCGCCGCGCACTTTGAAAAATTGAAGAAACAAAACAATGTTTGAAAATTTAAACAAATCTGTGTCACCAGCTTTTCCACCAGATGTGTTGATTATTGGTCTTCTGTTTACTTGAATGTTTATTAACAATTATCGATTTCTGTGTCAACTCAATAGCAGCAACATAAACGCGGCAATGATATTAAATCTTCCTTCCAAGACCCGGTTCCCCTGTCAGCGCTATGTTATTTATACATTTATCTTTAAATACTTTACTCTACATGCAGCGTCAATAAAACGACAATTGCAAGTATAACAACAACAACAACAACAACAATAAAATAACAACGGCATCAGCAGCAGCAGCAACAACTACAACAAACACCGCTAACAGTATCGTTATTACTATCAATAGTCCAGCAACAATAACAGCAATAACGAAAAACTTTCTTTCATTTCTTCCTTACCATATCATAGCATAGCATACGTGCATCGACACATGCATCGACACATACATACATACATACATACATATATACAAACAAACAAACATACATATATATTCGTAGTCGAGTCGTTTAACCTGATTTTCCCGCCATGACAATTTTATTGTGTGTACAGCAACAGCAACAGTAACAGCAACATGCATGAAGAGAGTCAAACGGAGTGACAATCATCACCATAAGGTAAAACGCATTGGAATCTAGTTAATAACCAACAAGTTAAAGCACAAAAACTTGCAACATTTTGCCACAAAACAAACACATACGCACCTATATAGCGTAACTTAACTATGCATGAATGACTGACTGGCTGACTAGCCGGTTGGCTGACGGTTTGATTACTTGACTCGCTAACTCGCAGGCTGTTTAATGTTCGTTGCCGTTGCTGCTTTACAACATAAATTTGAGTCAAACATAAGAAAATGAAGAAGAGAATTAACTAAAATCAAAACAACTGCCAGAGAATGGTAACACGACGACCGGTGTTTTATTGTTTAACTGCTACACACACACATATATGCATGAATGTGAGAACATCCGTTGTTCAAAAAAAAAAAAAAAAAAAAAAAAAAAAAAAAAATGAAAATAAAAATAAAAATAAAAATAAAAAAAAACCAAACCAAACGGAACAATGCAAAGCCAAACTTCAATTCTAGAAAAAAATAAAAATAGCTTAAATGAAAGTGAAGCTTTTCCCATCTCTTTTTCGTTCTCCTTAACTCTCTCTCTAAGAAAAAAAACATGAATGAAATTATCTGCAATTATATGTCGAACACAAAAGGTTTGCATTCACACGACGAACAAAGATGAATGCACTTAATTGAATGAAATATTTTTAATTTTCCTTTGTGCACACCTTATTAATGCAAAATCTCTGAACATTATGAACGCATAGCGTGCCATTGTAAGACCAAATAACTCTTCAATTCTACCACAAAGTGAAATTTTCGGGGAAAAATCCATAATGAATGTGTGAGGGAAAGAAATAATATTTATTATACGCACCGTAAGCGTATGCCGTTCTACGAGTTTTCTTGTCAAATTCATTACCCATCTACCAATAGACATTGCAGATTGCTTTGTATACTATACATTAACTGTGTAAAAAGTATCCGGAATTTATAAAAAAAAAAAAAATAATTCGCTTCAAATTAACTTCTAACGCTCGTACTTTTACTATGCTATCTACGAAGTATTAGCTTTAGCTTTGGAAAGGAGAAGAAACGGTCGGACAAAGCTGCATAGGGTGAGTGCAATACTTCTTCGAGCATTTTTGATTAAAAATCTTTGTATACAATGAAGACCAATCGATTTATCATTAAGTGGACGTTGTTGATGTGTTTTGGTTACAAAACATCAACCAGAATGTTGTTCAACAGGACAATTTGCTACGATGAACACAAGTCGAGACTGCGAACATATAGATGAGTATGTCGTTCATATGTACGATTGTATGCGAGTGGAACGGCTGCTTCTTCGATTTCTTAAAACGCCTTGCCACATCGATAAGCTTACTTTTTGGATAAACAAAACGCGGTGATTGCCGTTGACATAATGATCGTAAACACATTCGGTAGGTGTTATCTCCTTACACGGATCGTATATACAACTAAGCGATCTTTGGAAAAGAATGACGTGGCGAGAATATCTTTTATGCGTCTCACATTTCGGGAAAAGCGCATACAACGAACAGACTATTTAAAATCTCTCATTCATAGACACAAAGTACCGGTTACGGCACTGGGCATATAAATAGCACATCATCGTGAGAGCAACAATAAACATTTATCGAAAGGTTTATATGGAGAATTGTTAACAAATCACTCTTATTCTTCTCTCTTTTCTTGCTTATATGATTTCTGTGTCCAACGAAGCTTTAATCATTTTTCAGAAGTCTTTCGTGTCACTTCCGTTGGTGTACTGTGCGTTATAAGCGGGGAAGAGTGATACTAAAAGAAGCTTAGGAGATAGGTACCTGATATTCACATTATTTTGCTAAATGTAAGCAAATCTACAGATCGATTTGGTTTATTCATCAGCTTGGGCAACTTAATTTATTGCGTCTCGAATGTAATCTCAAATATTGATGTATACAAGAATGCAACCAAAGCATGAATTAGTTGGACAGAAGGACTGGTGGACAGCCGAACAAACGAATATGCTTAGGTGCATTCCAAAATTGAAACTGGTCGAAAATTTGTATACTTGATGGAGTTTTTGGAGCTTGCTTTTGGGCGGTATAAAGGTGCTGGAAAAAAATGTAATTATGACACTCTATAACATTGGGCAGGCGTATTTTTCACCATTTGTATGCAGGTACTACACAATCACACATAGAATGTAAATTTAGTTTACGTAGCATTGTAGGCGTGTCCTCCACTGATTTGGCCCATTTCCAATACCATCCTGCGTGTAAGAACTTCCAATGCTTCTGCCACATTTGAAGTCGATAGCTTCATTTTTGTGGCCAGGAGAATGTTTGCAACGGGCCTTATAGAGACAGACAAACGGAAATGCTTAAATCGATTTAGCATTTGATGCTGATCAAGTATATATATTCTTGGTGAGACTTGCGATGCTTCCTTCTGGGCGTCGCGAACGTTTTGACTATATGAATATACCCCTTATCCTTCGGTGATGAGTAAATATATATATATATATATATATATATAGTCTTCTCTTATTATAAATGGAAGGATAAAAATCATACACTACTTTCCAGGTTGGTCTAGAATTGCTCTCCATAACATAATCAGCACTTGTTTTTTCATGTATGTCAAGTTCTTTGCTTAAGTCTTTTCATTTTCACTAAATAGTTCTAAGGGAATTTTAGATCAACTGCAAATATGTACATATATAAATGTATATATGTATAAATATACAAGTCCAATATTACAAATGAAATAATAGAAGTGGGACTTCTTTTTCCAATGATATTTTCTTACAAAACCCGCAGTTTCGCCATGAAAACTATTATCGTTTGTTTTTCTTAAAAATCAAGTTTGGCGCTTAAGTCTTTTCATTTCGATTAAATAGTTCTTTAAAGGGAAAATTAAAGTAAAAATGAAAAATATGAGTAAATGAAATGTGAATATATATTTTGTAAGCATGTATATATGTTCGTGTATTTGGAACCCCTCTCGTCCTCTCGTCCGACCATTTTTATTAAATTAATAGTTTGCCATGGAAGCTAATGTCACCTGTTTTTTTTCTTTATTTCTTTTTTTAAATTCAAGTTTCTTGCTCAAGTCTTTTTATTTACTATAAACAGCTTGAAATGGTCAAGTTTGCTGCTATTGTAAATAGAGGTATAAAAACAAAAAAAAAAAAAAAAAATTTATTGAATAGAACGAAAACAAAACAAAAGTAAACAGCAAAATTTCACCAGAGATATTCTTAAAGGAAGTCGTAATAGAAGAATTGTGTTGGCGACATGAAAAGTCAATACATCCACAATAAAAAAACAAAAAAAAAAAAAAAACGTTATGCGTAGTCATTACACACATTGAACTCCCAGAACGGACGGGCGCGCAACCATATCTATAAGCTTAATTACTATTACAAAAACAAATTTATATACGGCATGGACAACATCATAATGAAGTTTTTGCAAAGCAGTTTGACTTAATCAGACTCTTAGCTTTGGTCTATTGGAGTTTAGCCAGTTAAATTATTTACCATCGGGCAGTGAAAAGGAAAGCACACATATATACAATAACTTAGTATTAGAGGGGAAAAAGAAAACGATTTTTTCCTTTTTTTTTTTTGTTTTTGTTTGAAAGGAAATTCGCTTAGAAAACGAAAATTTCTAACAAAAATAACAAAAAAATATCAAAATAACGGAAAAAAAAGAAAGAAAACAACAACAACAACAACAAAACGACGAAAATTATCAATGAAAGTGCATTGATCTATAAAAATAAATAATAATAATAATAATAATTACATTAAATATTAATAATAATATGACAAAGAAAGTGTTTTTAAAGCATTTGCTTGGAATATCTCTCGCTTTATTATTCTGCAAAACTCATGAAGCGGCTCCGTCGGTTTCTATTAGTGACAATAGCTTAGCAATAAATCTCAATCATGCCACTTGGCCAGCCTTAAAACACTATGACATTTGGAATGATTATACACAAAACGAAGAACAACAAGAAATCTCTAAATTAAAATCTTTAGAAACTCTTAAGCATAATCGACCGCAAGATGAAGAAGAAGAAGAAGAAGCAATAGAGTATATAGATAATAATGAACAAATTCATTTAAATAATTGGAATGTTAATGAAGAAGAAACCGAAAAATCAATTGATTTAATGAATTTTCAATTAAATCACTCATTAACCGAAACGAATAATGTCGAAACGAAATCACGTAACAGCAAAGGTACACTAAAGAAGCAAAAGATTCAACAACAACAACAAAAATCACAAACTTTTAGATAGACAATCATAGATAAACTACTTCTTCCATATTTTTTCTAGTGATACACTTGTTTCCAGTACCGGTGGACGGCGAATGCTTATCAAATGACGGCCGGCGTTCTGGCACTTGTTTCAACGCTTACGAATGCCGTTCGAAGGGTGGTATAGCAAAAGGCGAATGTGCAATGGGTTTCGGGGTCTGTTGTATATGTGAGCGTAATATGTTTGAATATGAAAGTGGTGAAGTGATCCTATCAAATAGTTGTCTATATAGTTGTAGCTAATTGCAATGAAACGATTACCAATAATATGACGTACCTGACTTCACCAAATTTTCCCAGTTTTATGACTGAAAATTTTACCGATTGCAGTTTGAGAGTGCGTTTGTTAAACGATGACATCAGTCAGTTACGTATTGATTTCTATCATTTTACCCTGGGTCAACCGAATCGCCGGAGCGGGGTATGTGATGGTGATGTCTTTCAAGTGTCAGGTGGGCCGAGTGGAACATTCTCATTATGTGGTCAGAATAGTGGTCAGCACAGTAAGTGTGGAATTTATTTTCTTATAGTCATAAAGTGCATTGAAAAGTTGTTTATACAGTTTACTACGATGTGGGCGGTCGCATAGCTCCGCGTCAAACACTTTATGGAACTTTAAGTCCCATACGTTACGAAGATATTTATCCGAATCGCACTGCCAGCAATGAAAGCATAGTAGTTGACATTAGCTTAAAGTTCGCTCAGCGATTTTTACCAACGCGTCTCTGGGAAATACGTATAGCGCAAATCTCCTTCAGCCAAAGGGCCCCACCTGGTTGTTTACAATATTTTACCGGAAATGAAGGCGTTCTTCAGGTGAGTCTGCATACGTTTCTCATTCAAGGGAGTTCCGTCTGTTAATATTAAGTCGTCCCTTTAGAGGATATTAAAACTACGGCTTATAACTTACAGAGCGTAGCAAACACTTATAGATAACTATTTAGCTTATCGTTTCTTTATAGACATTTAACTTTGCCGATAACGGACGACATTTGGCCAATCAGAACTACAAGATATGTATACGTCAGGAGACGGATATGTGCTCAATAGTCTATCAGCCTTGCGATGAGCAATCATTTCGTATTGGCCTTAGTTCGCCAATAGCTAATGGGGGCTTAATTTCAAATGGCAATAGTAGTCAAATGGGCGGAACCGTATCTCAAACAATAAGTGACAATGTTAATTTTTTATTAATGAATTTTACTACCTTGAGTACAAGTGAAGAAACCAGTGCAACGAGTGCGACAACAACGACAGTTGCACCCACTGCAGTCGGCAAGTTTCATTTATGATTTCCAGCTAAACTATCGCGATTAATTTTTAATTATTTTCTTTTCTAGTTAACACTGAAAATACTACTACAGCTACGGGCGGTACAACCGCCGGTTCCTCTATAGTAAGCAGTACTACTACTACCGAGATACCCAGTACTCCGTTACGTGATGACGTTGAAGGATCGGGTGATGACGATGATGCCGCTACCCGTTTCGGTCCTACCCCCTCGGGCGCCAATGTATCACGTCGTCCACGACCAGTAAGCGGAGGCTTTGATATCTTGGGTCTTTTACGTACAGCTTTTGATTTTGATTGGCGCAATCGTCATCGTAGAGTACCGCCTTTTGTACCATTAAGTAATTTTCGCCGAAAACGACAATTTTATAGTAATTGCAGAGATCGTTTGACTATGCCCTGCATTATCGAAGATTTCATTGAAAGTGGCTTGGGACCGTTACCCGGCTGTGAACCTGTTCATTGCGGAGCCCAATTCTGTTCATCTGGCATATGGCCGTGTCGTATAGAGTCTACCGTAACACCGTTTTATGTCGGTATACACTTTGGCGACGGCGCGGGCAAAGGTAGCGCTGAAGATAACATTGGCGCTTGCTTGAGATTCCAACAAGCTCAGTGCATGTGATAATTGTTTTAAAAGACAATAAATAAAAGCAAAAAAATTTCCCTAACCGTTTTTCTTTACCACTCTTCTGTCAAATCAAAGATATTTACGTATAAACAAGAAACTTCTCTTGTATTGGCAACTCTTTCCTTGTAATGATATCGTTTTCACAACAAGCAGATCTGTAGCGAATAATACGCATATCATATCGTGTAGTAAATACAACAACCTTTGTGCACATTGTGAATCGCGATCTTGTTTCGTGCCAACAACGCTGCAACAACATTTCTATACTAAACTACAGTTTGTTACAAAATCTAACCGAAAAAAATCAAGTGAAAAAGTAAGCGAACGCTATTGGTGCAAAAGAACACGGAAAAAACCGCGACGACCACAATTAGGATCTTAAACAAAACAACGCGTATTCAAGTTTTTCAACTTTTTACGAGACTTTATGCAAATTGGCGCATCATAAGGCCTTAAATGTATGCAAACCTAGAACAAGTAAAAAAAGAGACTATAGGAGTAGTTTATATTTACTTTAATCTCTTTTATATGTACACAACATGACTTCAAATTTTGGGTTAAATTCATCAAAACAGTTTTTTATTAGAAATGAAGCCCCCCCCCCACAATAGAGGCGATTTGTTTTCAATTTAAACAAGTAAGAAATTGGTACACGGCTGTTGAACTAACGAAGATATAGCAAACTTTTGGAATCGAAGCAATTCGCGAAAACTATAGATGAAGGAACAAGTGATGGAAGAGAAGAAAATTGCGATCAATCATTGACATTTGAAAATGAAAACAAGTAAGAATATAGTCGGGCAACGCCGTCCTTTACATGTCCTACACCAGTTCGTCCAGTACGGTTATTCACTAGTTTTGGTGATAATACATCAAAAGAACTTTATTTGCAGTCAAAGGCACAATGCTTATGAAAATCATCAGATTTTCTTACTGTATAAGAACGCGCTTTTCTTGATAACGTCTATATTTGTTAGAGTCCAAAAGAATAGACCACAAATTTAGGATGTCGAAATACTATTACTTAGCCGCTTTTGTAGAGAATTTTTGAAAATTGCTAATTTTTTTCTTATAACGAGTTTTCAGAATAACTCGGCCGATCTGAACCATTTTCAATAGCGTTCGTTCTTGAGTCAAAGCACATCTGTGTACCAAATTTTATCAAAATATCACAGAAATTACGGCCTGTAGTTTAAAAACAAATTTACAAAGTCAGACATCGGAAGGACAGGCATAATGGAGGATGGGCCTATCTTAACCCCTTCTGCGTGTTACATAGGTCCGCACTAACTTAATATACTCCGTATAGGGAGTGTACATGTGGTGTAGGGTATATATATTTTATCGATAATGCAGAAGCTCTTGGAAGTATTGCAAGAACTGCAATCACTCCCCACCCACTGAAGTTCAGAATGAACAAAAATGTATAATGTAACTAAAAATCATTGGTTTGTGTAATATTTTGTAGATACATAAATATAAATTAGATAAATAACGTCCAAATTTAAAATAAATTGTCTTTATTTCTTCTCCTAAATGTTATATGTGTGTATATACACACAACCATATGATATGCCAATTCCCACAAAATACAGTAACAAGTTGGCAAAATTGAAATACCATCCCCAAAAAGGAATAACACATCAATATGTAAACCTCCAAAAGCCTAAACGTCCGATCATGTGAAGACTAGTGAATCTAGCTAACAATTGTTATATACAATGTATGAAAAATGAGTTCAAAGAAATATGTATTTCAGACATGGACTCTATGTAATATGGACTCTCACAATTTCGTCTAGAAAGCTAAAATTAAGATAATTTAAAAAACATCTGTTCCATTACTAATGTATAATATGTGTGTTATTGTTATTAGAACAACATTAGAAAGACATTTGCCGACGTGGACCAGTGAGACAAACCTTTTCGATTTGGCTCCTATATAACTTTATTCTGAAAGTAGACGTACATAAAAGTTCATTGAAAAGAAACTATCGATTTTATATTCGATTTAATTCAATTTTTTCATATTCCCCAGTTTTTTTTTTAAATAACTACAAATTGGGCAATGTGTTATGGTTTCATTTTTTGTAGTAAAAGTAGAGCAATTCTTGATATTGCACAAATCTTATGGAATCGAATTTTTTTTAAATAACTTTTTGGATACATTTTTCGAATCCTTATAAAACATTGGACAACAATCCAACATCTGGAAAAAACAGCTGACGTGATATCATTCACTACATACAGTCTACGTAGTATGTGGTTGACTAATGAATCATTAAAGAAAACCCATAATGTAAAGTGTCTTTTTTTTGTAATTCCCATTAATGTGTTAATAAATCGACTTATTTTAGTAGACTTGGCACTATTGTCACGGAAAACCATATAGGTTTCGCTCGGTGCTTTTTCGCATATTAAAATCAAGAAAAATATGTAAAATTTGTACATAGATTCCACTAAAAAATACAATTTTTATAAATATTGTGTATAGTTTAAATATAAAATTCGATAACATATTTGTTGGGCTTAACAAAATACGGAGAAAGTTTCACCTACTTTGAGGTTATGATGCTTCCATAATAAACATTAGAAACTTGTGAATATTAAGTTAAAAACAATTTGTTGAAAATAAATATGAATGTACCGCCAGCTGCTCCTGCTGTTCCGCCAGCTATGGGCGGTATGGGATTTCCGCCGACAATAGTGCCACAATTTAATATACCACCACCTGGTTTTGGTGGCCCTCCACCACCCGAATTAGCAGCTGCTTTTGGTGCAGCGCCGCCTAATACCGAATGGACAGAACATAAAGCTCCGGACGGGCGCCCTTATTACTATAATAATGTGACTAAGCAAAGCTCCTGGGAGAAGCCGGAGGCGTTAATGTCGCCGGCGGAAAGATTACAGCATCAATGTCCTTGGAAAGAATATCGATCAGATGCTGGGAAGGTTTATTATCACAATATAAACACCAAAGAGTCACGATGGGAAGCGCCAGCTGAATTTGTGGATATGCAGGCTAAAGTTAAGGCGGAGGAGTAAGTTTCTATATTTCACGCAATGACAATAAGTGATTTGATTGACATTTTGTTTGCAGAGCGGCGGCCGCTGCTAAAGCTGTGGCAGCAATGACTTCTTCCAGCTTAGCAGGCATAGTGCCACCATCGGCTTTAGCCAATATATTGCCTGCCACTTTGCCTACAGTGACGAAAATTAACACTCCTGATATTCACTCACCTCTTACACCAGGCAGCAATGAGAATTCATCATCTGCTTTGGATCATGCCATGGCGGCCACTCTAGCGTCCATAGAAATTCCTGCGACCACCAACAATAAAGAAGATAAAGAAAGTGAGATGTTGCGAAACTAAATGCCCATTGAATATAAACTAATTTTTGCCATTTCAGACAAGAAAGAGGCTACCGAAGATCCAAAACAGGTATTTAAAGATAAGAAGGAAGCTATTGAGGCTTTCAAAGATCTTTTACGCGAAAAGAACGTACCGTCGAACGCTAATTGGGATCAGTGTGTAAAAATCTTATCTAAGGATCCACGTTATAATGCATTTAAAAATCTAAATGAAAAGAAACAGACTTTCAACGCTTATAAAACACAGAAACTCAAAGATGAAAAGGAAGAAGCTCGCTTACGAGCGAAAAAAGCTAAAGAGGATTTGGAGAAATTTTTAATGACGTCTGAAAAAATGAATTCAGGTGTTAAATACTATAAATGCGAAGAGATTTTCGCCGGAAACAAAATTTGGACTTCAGTGCCGGAACAAGATCGTCGCGATATCTATGAAGATTGCATCTTCAATTTATCTAAACGGGAAAAAGAGGAGTCTCGAATATTAAAGAAGCGCAATATGAAGGTGCTGGGCGAATTGCTAGAGTCCATGACCACAATTAGTTACTGTACTACATGGGCTGAGGCCCAAGTGATGCTGTTGGAAAATTCAGCGTTCAAAAATGATGTTAATCTCTTGGGTATGGATAAAGAAGATGCTCTTATAGTGTTTGAAGAGCACATACGCACATTGGAGCGAGAAGAGGAGGAAGAACGGGAACGAGAAAAGAAACGGTTAAAGAGACAACAGCGCAAGAATCGAGATGCTTTTCTAACTTTGCTGGACTCTTTGCATGAAGAGGGAAAACTAACATCGATGTCATTGTGGGTGGAATTATACCCTATTATTTCGGCTGATATACGTTTTTCCGCAATGCTTGGTCAAAACGGCTCTACACCTTTGGACTTGTTCAAATTCTACGTGGAAGATTTAAAGGCACGCTACCATGATGAAAAGAAAATCATTCGAGAAATTTTAAAGGAAAAACTCTTCCTTGTTAAAGCCAGTACAAGCTTTGAAGATTTTGCTACTGTGGTTTGCGAAGATAAACGTTCAGCCACATTGGATGCGGGAAATGTAAAACTTACATATAATTCTATGTTAGAAAAAGCCGAAGCCATTGAGAAAGAACGTTTAAAAGAAGAAACAAAACGTCTGCGGAAATTGGAAAATGAAATTAAAAATGAATGGCTGGAGGCAAATGTTTCAATACATGAACCGTATGAATCGGCCCAGAAATTGGTCGAGCACCTAGAAGCATTTGCTATCTATGAGAAAGAGGTAGGGGTGCAAAAAATTTGGGAAGACTTCATTAAAGAGAGTGAAGACGCTTGCAGCCATCACCATGCGAGGTCAAGAAAATCCAAGAAAAATAAAAAGCATAAGAAGCGCACACGTTCCAGCTCGAAATCGGTAAATGAAGTCGAAATATGCTAAGAAGAAAAGCTTTTTATAGCTGTTTTTCTATTTTAGGATATTGAAAACGAACCTCTAGACTTCGAACGGGAGAAGAACAAAAAAAAAAAATCACGATCACGTTCGGTTAGTTAAATTTAAAAATTTTTAGACCACGTATTTTTTAAGTAAAAATTATTTTTTACATTTACTAGCTGTCCGTTAGCTCCAGCGTGAGTATGGATAGTGATCGTGCTTCAAAAAAGAAGAAGAAAAGAAAAAATAAAAAATCTTCCAGAGATGTAAGTAAAAAAGTTTTTGAACCGCAGGTCGTAGATTATTTTTAAAACCCGATTGATATATTTATTGCTTAGTCCTCCTGTGAGTCTGAACGCGTTTTATCTGTAAATGGTTCACCTACGGCGTTATTGGAAAGTATTGATATGCCTTCGCATAAGAAGAAGAAGAAAGATAAAAAGAACAAAAAAGAAAAGGAACGCAAACACCACCATGATAAGCAACATTCTGCGACGCCCCTAAGTCCTTCAGCTAGTAATTCAGAGGGCGCCCATTCTCAGGCTAGTTCACGTAATGAAAATGACGAGCAGGCTTTAAGCGAGTCGGAATTAGAATCAAAACGCGCCGCTCTCCTGGCTCAACTTAACGAACAAATGGAGGAATAGAAAAATATTTGTAATATTAACAGAATCCTCTTGAACTAGTTTTAAGTTTAGCTTCTATGAAACACATACACATGCACGCACGAGCCAACACACCTCTGTATTTATGTTCGATTTGACTTAAGAATACTTCAACTTTTTACTCCTAGAAAACAACAGAAAAGATTGAAATCCTTACAACAATTATAACAATTTTGTGGTGTTCTTTTCTTATCCTTAAAAAAAGTGAAATAAACAGTAATGGAAAGAAAAGATTTGCAAGTCATTCATTCCATTTGCTTAGTGGAAATATTTTGCGAACTTTATTTAACTTTTGTATTAATGCCCAACTAACTGAACTGAAATGATTGCGTATGAAAAAAAAGGCTGTGACATCGTTGCTACACAATTAAAATTTGAATTCCTTATATTTCTTTGTAGTCTTGGTTGGATCGGTTTGACGTTTCCGTTTAGACTTTTGTCGAGCAACATGCTCTGCCAACATGTCGGATAAATCTTCCTTTTGTAAATGGTTCTGTTGTTCGCGCATCTGCTGTTCATACCGCTGAGCCATTGCGTCATTATCCATGTCCAATTCCGAAGGATCCAAGGCTAATTCAACGGTACCTTCACGCTCCGTAGTAATGGCAGTACGCGCCGCCGTTTGCTTGACACCAGCGACGTCATAAACATGTGTTGATCCCATCATTGAAGCACCCACCCGATCAGTGCGCTTTTCTGGCAGCACATGATATAATACAGGAGTCTCATTACTGAAAGCAAAAAAAAGATTTTCAGATAAATGTGCTTTCATATATTCTGAGAAACCATACTCTTCCATTTCTTGCTCAATTTTCTTTTTACGTAATTCAATGTTTTCGGGCGTTTCCATACCGGCTGGAACACTGGTAAGTCCAGATGGCGTTACCAAGCCTTCTGCCGGGGTTACTAATCCGCTTTCATCTGGCTGATTGGTCATATCTTCACCGTCTTCCTCCTCCTCTTCCGAAGATTCTTCTGATTCTGATTCCAATTCGCCCCATTGATTGCGTTCAATATCGCCTTCGTCGATGCCGTTCTAACAAAGAAAAAATGTTTTATAAATATATTTTTTCCGTCATATTGCTTAAGTACTTACGTCTATATCGATAATATTGGTGCCGAAGACGTCACCGTACAATGGTTTGCCATTTTCATCGACCGGTGGTTTACCCCAACCGCCTGCATGATAGCCAAAAGAGCATCCTTCTGGTATTGGTGCATTGAGGCCTGGTATTTTAAGATTGGGATAAGAGGGTGGTGGACCATAACGTTGTTGAGCTATCAACCACGGGGGTGGTATCTTATGAGAGTTTGGACCTACCGGCATTCCCAAAGCGATGCGTAATTCTTCTGAGAGATCGCCCGGTTTTTTTTCTTTAAGTCTTGTTTCAAATTCCTTACCCTCGTAATATAGGTCGCCGTGTATGGTCATGCGAGGTTTCGTTTGCCACTTGAAGAAAGCATCATGTAATTTCTGATAATCAATATCGATTTTACCCATCTTGGGCCGCACGCGCTCTCGCATTTTCGATTTCAGAGACTTAGCCTCGTCTTTTTCCTGCAGGGACTCACGCATTTCCATGATTCCGGTTTTCTTAATGAATGCCGGCAAATCGAATGGAGGTTTTTCGATACCACGTTTCCCTTGCAAATATTTTCTTTTAAAGCACCAATGCCGTGGCACTTGTACCGTGTTACGATAAGCTTTTAACTGCACCAACAGTTTAGGATCGCGTGCTGTGACATCGTGCATTTCCACCACATCTGGCCGCGAAACTAATTGCTTCAATTCGGCTACGCTAAGACGGGTCAACTTCTTTAGCTTACGTTTCGATAACTTTTCCTTTTCCTCTTTATTTTCTTCCTCTAACTCTTCGTCATCATCCATCAAAGATTTGTCAGCCGATTTCTTTTGCGATTTCTCAGACTCTTCAATGGAAGCTTTATCCTTTTCTGAGGCTTTAGGTTTGTTTTCCAATTTGAATATTTCAAACACCCGATAAAATTGACGGTACATAGGCGCTAAATCGGCTATAGTTATCTTTTCGGGTACATATCTAAGTCAAAATAAAACATGTTAAAACTCGAAAATCTTTGCTTGATCAGGCTTACTTTTGGCTTACTTACTCAATAATCACGTTATCGTCCGCACCTTCTTTATTAGAATCTTTTTTTTTTAATTTTTCTTTTAATTTTTCTTGTCTGCTGTCCAACTTCTTGTTTTTCTCTTTTTCATTAACTCTTTCCGGAGGTCCCTCATTGCTTACATTCTCGTTAGCTTGGAAATCTTTCAAATTGGCTGGCGGTTGTTCCGCGTAACTTATTTGTTCTTGTTGTTTTTTTAGTTTTTTATTTAGCTTCTTACGCCGCTTTTTCTTTTTATTTTTTTCTGCTTTGCTCTGTCGTGGTGCTTTACCCAGCCCGCCACCGTTTACTTGGTTTTCATCTTCATCGTCTGTATCATCGCCTGCATCACCGTAATCGTTGCCTATAACTCCGCTTCCCGCATTATTAGCATTCGAGAAATCTTCAGTACTTATATCGTATTCAGCGGCGCGTTGATCTTTTAAAGCCAGCACATCCTCTAAAGCCTTTGGCAAAACTAGTTCTGCATTCTTCTTGCCATCCTTGCCGTCCTCAGGGTTATTACAATTTTCATCGTTGCCGTTATCGAGGGAGCTAAGAGAGCTACCATTGGAATTGACTTCTTTCGGCTGTGTTGCTACACTAACTGCTGGTTTATTATTAATATCTACTGTAACCGGAGGTTGATTATTCCACGGTTGCGGCGGTGCTATTTGTTGATGATTTGGATAATGTGGCGGACGCATCATTGGCGGCGGTGGCGGTGCTCTCTGCAAATATTAAAATTTTAATTTATCCTTAATAATAGCGTCAAACTTACATCAGACATAACGATTTATTTTTTTCCTAAATATAAAAATTTTCACTATCGAAAAATCAGAATTCGTCAAAGTTACCCACAACTAAGTTGTCAAAAAATCAAATGTTTCAGTCAAGTGTTGCCAGCTTCCCAAAAGAAAGAAGCCAGCGCTTGTTTTACTGTGCAAATTAATACGATGAATTCTATAATTTATTATAATTTTTCTATAATTATTATTAGTCAGAGTTCGAATTAAACAAATTTTTGTTGGAACATTTATTGTTTTCAAATATCCAGCAGCCCCGCATTTGCAGTTGGCAGTGCTCATGGCATCGAAATATAAACAAAATGTTTATTGTGAATTGTTTAGTCGTTTCTTCTTTTAGATCGGATGATAAGTTTACAAAAATTGCTATTACGGACTTCCAAGCAAACTGTTTTAATTCTGTTAATGTTGTACGAAAATAATCCGGTTGTGTCTTAACAGTGAAATTGGTAATTCAAAATTCATTGTTTATTTTTTATAAAGAAATAAGAATTGTTATCGTTGCGAAAATAAAAATGAAAACAAAGCAACACTTGGTCACAAATATACATATTAATTGCAAAAAGAAAAAATATATATATATAAATGTATTTATATAAACATATTTGTAAGCAAAAAAAGAAAAAAATTAATGCAGACAGTGTGTGTGCTGTACGTATTTCTTTTTTAGAAATCTTTTTCGCTAATGTCTTTTTCATTTACTATTTTGCGTAGCTCTTTCGTATCATTTTTGTCCCGAATTATTAAAAACAAATATGTTCAAATTTGATTTTCGGGTTGACGAGTGTGATAAGGATGATAACTTTAATGACACATTCTACCAAAAAGATTCGCCAAGTTGGTAATAATAACGTTGTTTGATTGATAAATTTTATTAAATCCACATTTCTTGCAGCTTGTACCAAGAGGAAACTTCCTCACTTAATTGCCATGAAGCCACAGAAATTTTACCTTCGCAATCTATTCTGGACAATATCGACGTCTATCGCTTGCAATGTCATACTAAAATATTGAAGAATGTTTGTATATCGCATTTAAGCGGCGGTTTTTTATTAGAGGACATAAGGAATGCCTCTAATTCAGATATTAAGAAAGCCCACGAGCAACATTCTGATTTAGTGCCAGGCGTTTACGAAGGTGGTGCAAAGATCTGGGAGTGTACCGATGACGTTTTAAATTTTATGGCGGAAAAGTACTCTCAAGATTGGTGGACGCGTAAAAGAGTACTTGACTTGGGCTGCGGTGCTGGTTTACTGGGCATTTACGCCTACAAACAAGGGGCTCGTGTCGATTTTCAAGATTATGTATGTACAAGGTTACATATTAAAAGACTATTAATTGAAAACTTCTACTCATTTATAGAATAAAGATGTCTTGCAGGAAATTACTATACCTAATCTATTAATCAACATCACCGAGCAAATGCCGTTAGAGGAAGTCTTCGAAAATGTGAAATTTTATTCAGGTGATTGGAGCAAATGGACAGAGTTCTGCAAAGGCTCCTATATTTATGATGTTATTTTGACCAGCGAAACTATTTACAATCCCAGAAATCAAGAAAAACTATTGCGTTGCTTAAAAGATAAATTAAAACTAAACGGCGTCGTTATTTTGGCTGCGAAAACTCACTATTTTGGAGTTGGTGGAGGACTGCATCAATTCGAAGCACTATTAAATTCAGAAAAATGTTTCGACTATCAGATTGTGTGGACTTCATGTGAAGGCGTCAGTAGACAAATTTTATTACTAACAAGAAGAAGGTGAAGAAGAGTAATATGTTGTATACAAAATTGTAAAAGTTGTAAAAATATTTGATAATCAAATTAGTTCGTGATTTTAAAGCAATAAAACCAATGTGAATAAAGAGAGAGAGAGAACACAGTTGCTTTCAATGAATGGTAGAGGAGCACTGTAACAATTCTATTGAACGAGAATAAATGAATAAAAGCACCGAAAAACATCGTAGAAGTTATTAGAAGCTAAATTAACAACTACTAAGAAGTAGAAACATTTTTAAGTTTTTTATTTATTTATTTGAATATAAACCATAGAGGAAATGCGTTTTGTCCTGACCATAAATGCCCAGCAAATTGTTTCTAAGAGTAAATGACCAGTAGAGTACTTTATTAAATCGGTTGGTGCTTATTGCTAAAATACTTGCTATGGATTTTCCAATATATTTATATTTTTACTTTTACGCACACTAAATTGCACGTGCAGGGCAAATGTAAATAAAAATTCGAATTTGCATCAACACTCACGCTTGACACGAGCTTTACATTAACAATCTCACTCACGATACTAGCTTTACTCATGTGTAAAATCCCAGGGCTGTAAAAATGGGGCAAGTTTTGGTGTTCAAATCATATAACACGCAAAAGTATTTTTTTTATTTGCGAAAGACACGGAATTATTGGAAATGTCGCCTACGTTTGACTTAAAGCAGCGGCACCTAAATATTCGTAATGGCTCTAAGGAATACCGCATCAAATATGTTCGCCTAGTACAGCTCTTGCTTATGCCGCCATTTATCCGTCTTGATTACGGACATGTTTTGGTTTGCGGGATGATGTGATTATCACCTATTATTCAATTATAAAGAGTGTTTACTTTTTGCGGTCATTGTATGCGAGAGAGATGTTTTCGTATCTATTTAAAAGGACTCTGATTGCAATAGATGTCGACGCGATTTTCTTTTCTTTTTTTTTTCATATGAAATTAAGTATATTTTGTGAATGAAGAAATTTATAGTTAAAGTGTTATTAACTTTTTGAAAGAGCTTTTAAATGAACGTAAATTGGAACAGAAATTGTTCTTCATAGACCTAAAACAGTTAAGTAAGCATTTAACTAACCTAAAAATTGCAGGAAAATTTAATTAAAAACGCTTTTTTTTTTTAAATACATTCAGGACCTGCATGGATGAGTTATAAACAAATTTAAACTAATTTCGGCATGTTTAGTGACTGTGGGGAGAGTCTTTACAAAAGAGAACTGGGTGAACTTGCGATAATTAATCTCGTAGAATTATGAACTTATTGGCCTATGAAAACCATAAGATTTGCGCAAACATTTTCTTAACATACGAATATAGTCAAATGTGCGTAATGAAGTTTTCTCGCGATACATTTCGTACAAAAAAGCTTAAGAAAAAAAGATTTCTTTGAAAGTGAATTCGATTTTCTTGTACAAGACCAACGGAACGACGAACACAATCAAAAAAAAAAACACATTTTGCTACTGTGAATACATGAAAAACGGCTTAACCATCGTGAGATAGTAGTGGTTTCCTATTGCGTGATTGGATTGAGATTTCCGTTTATTAAAATAATAAACAGCAAGAGTAAGTAAGAGTCTCTATGCGTTGAAAAGTCTAGAGAAGTTGGAAAGTCTTTAGAACCTTAAAAGCGTTTATTTTTAAATTCTATATGTGAGGACTGGAAATGTTTAGTAAACAGCTATTTGCCTTATGGAAATCTTCTCCCTTCGATGCATTCTTTGCAATATGACCAATAAATGGGTACTTCTAGGCATTATGTCGTGAGAGGAATTGTGCAGGTCATAGGGCTTTTTCGTGAAGATCAACTGTACGATTTGTTAAATTTTCACTAAAAACTGCCTCGTTAAAATTTTATAATAATAATAACATATTTGGGACCGGACATAGAACAATTTGAAATGAAATCAATCATCTAAAATGGTAACATTTTGAACATAAAACGTGTTGTGACGTGGTGAAACAATAACACGGGAGTATTAAGTAAAATTTTCGGATGGAATCGATGCCAATATTAGTGCAAGCAAAGCTTAATTCATCGAATAAGTCTCTCTACACTCTCTACATCACTTGTAATGTAAAGGTGTATTAAGGTCGTGCGGATGTATGCCACACCAGAAGGACGTGAAATTGTTCCATCTTTTATTATACCGATCGATTCAGAATCATTGTCCAGATAGGTTTAAGCTTGCCTGTCCGTATATCTTGCTTTCTTGTGTTCAATTCACAGGTCGCAATTTTTGAGATATTTTGATGAAATTTATTACAAAGACACTATTCAAATTTATTCGGGTCAGACGATTTTTTCATTCACTCCCTCTATAAACTTTGGAAACTCGTTATATGAATAATTGTATTAAAAGAAGTGGTATAGGGTATTTAATGCTGATCCGCGTTCCAGCGTAGAGTTTTCACGCGTTTGTGATTAAGCTGAGCAAAATCGAATGAACTTAATGGGCTAAACCTTTGATAATACAGTGTAACATTCACAATCGACGACTATTCATCCGTTTCAACCCGTCCCATTTTCAACGAAAAGCTCATGTTTTCAAAAATTGATAGAGAAAGAACTGAAAATGGTCGTCGGCTGCGTACAAATAAGTGCATAATAGAGGCGAAAGTCTATAATTTGTAGTCTACATCTGAAAGCAGAAACACAAATATTTCCTCAAAAGCCAATGACACATGACTTGGGATTTGAATGCTTTGTTCTTTGGATGGTTGCTGCCAACTATCCGCCATTCATCATAAAGTGAAGAAAACTCGCTTCTTTATTATTATTATTATTATTATTGTTATTATAATTAATTTGGCCAGAGAGTAAATTTTAAGACTTAAATCTTCAAGCACTAGCATTTAAGATCAATTAAAGTTGATCTTTCGGATTTCGAAATTCGTGCAGTAATTTTTTTGCGTATTTTTATATATATTTATAAAAATTGAATCATTAACGGGCCATTATATATCTACATACAAATGTTGTGCATTATGTTTACAGTATATTGCAAACAACATCGCATTACACAGTCGAGGGAGTAATTTAAAAGTGACATGACGTGGTACCGTGGTAAGAAAGCGTAACTATCCAAATAAGATGTTACAAGTCAGTGGATATATAGGTAGGAAAACGTAACTCGCGAGCGCTTAGTAGCATATGTGCTTTTATACATTTTATGGAGACAAAATTTTTATATAAGGAAATGTGAAATATGTTATGCACAAGCAACGAACCACATATGAAAGTATACTTTTATTATTCGGAAGACTCATGATTCAGATGATTGACTTTACCATCTCATCTATGTTTAAAATCCATGTCCATCCGTTGTACATTCATAAATATGAAATTTGAAAGAGGAGAGAGACTTAACTTAACTATTGCCATTGATTACAACATACTCGTTTATCGATTGTTTATTGTGTGCTGTTCATCATGTTTATGTTATTAGTAGTTAGTTTATTTTTCTTTACTCATTTTTTTTTCGTTCGCTCTTAATGTTAAAACGAAAAAAAAAAAAAAAAAACCAAAAAAAAAATCGATTAGCCCAGTTGCCTAGAAAATGAAGTTTTAAGTCGGAATATGTATTGCATCCACAAAACAGTGCGCTATACATCAGCACAACTTTGAATAGAATGATATTGTACGACGTAAATAACATTTCTAAAGGCCGTTTATTCAACTACGGATTATATATGTTATGTTTGGTTTTTCGTTGTTGTTGGCTGCTAGCTGTCTACATCACACACGCATACAGTCTTTCGTTCCAATGACAAGTAGAAAGCAGAGTAAACTGAAAATATTTAAAATTTCAAATTTCAACAACATGTTGATTTGTTTGCGAATTACTTTTTTTGGGTAAATTTTTGGCTTATCTCTGCAGAAACATGCTGCCAAGTAAGAAACAAAAAAAAAAAAAGCAAAAAACAGAAAAAAAAAAATTAACAGTTTTTCAAAGAAAATCACTATCTCTTCGGTTTAACGTGATTCGACGATATCTCCCATACATGTAACTTTTTAGCTAACTAAATAGTTGTTCGAATATACACAATAAACAAAAAAAAAAAAAAAATTGTTAACATATATCAGAGATAGAGAGCATTAAAACATATCATTGTACTCTTGTATACATACATGTGTACAAGCAATGTTAGTAAACTTGAGACAACCTTTTACTGGAAGAAAGCAACTTTGGAATATTATTTATTTTTTTTTTTATTTTGCAAAGTTTTCTCAATGCGCTATTGCGCAGATGGCATGACGAAGTCTAAGAGAATACGTATGACTCGTCGAAAAAGTTGAATACGAAACTTTATAAAACATTCGCATCTCAAGTTTGCTTTGAGTTTGTTGACTTCAGTTCGTTTTCGATTAGCGCATTCGATGGGTCGCATTCTTATTGCATACAAAACGTTTCAAGTATAGCATATGAAAAAGTGGTTAAAGATTTAAGAGAATCAAAATATATATTATCCAAGAATTTTTAGATTACTTAACATATCGCGAGTTTTGCTTTTCTTATGAAAAGTTTCAATTGAAAGTGTAAAGAAAATCGCGAGTCTTTGATTATTACTGATGTTAGTAAACCGAAAACGACTCGCGTCTTCATCAATGGAATGACATGAAATAAGACGGACGTCGCGGCGTGTGTGTACGTAAAAAATCTAAATATATATATATATATATATGGGGTATGCATATATAATATGTATATAATGTGCGAAAATGTGTCTCCTCTTGAATGCGTGCTAATTGTAATATCATAAAATAATTAAATCATTTATTTATTTAATTAATACTTTGATTAAAAATTTATTGAAAAAAATAAAGCGTTAAAAACAAAACAAAATTAATCTGAAAATGATAGGCTGTCAGAAAAATACAGCATAATGCTTCAGATGACTAAACGTTTCGTAAGATTAAAAAAAAAAAGTGAATGAATGAAAAAAAAAAACGCAATTTTAAAAAATTTTTAAAATATGAAAAAATTAAAAATTATTTTAAAGACATCATCATCGTTCATACACAATTAAAAAATAGTATGAGAACTTAAAATGAACTTTTTATTGTTTGGTAACAGCTTGGCTGCAAAGCTTCGCCTATCTTAATCAATTTGCATTTAGATAAGTCGTTGAATGATAAAGAATATCGCATTCCTGTAACAGAAATGATGATGAAAGTCTTAAATATGACTTTCATATTGCAACTGCTGGCGTTAAATCTAACGCCTACAGTCTTGGCGACGCATTATAATCGCGCTCATAAACTGAAACCGTATGCGGGTGGTGCGCAGCAATCGCCGAAAATAACTCCTTCGTATCCCACCGATTCGAATGTGTATGTGTCACATGCCCGCCCCCCGTACCGAAAAAATCAAGTTCAACAGTACACGAGCATTGCGAATACGAATGCGAATCCAAATGGTAGTCCGAATGGACTTTATGCTATCATTGACGCTCAGTCATTATCTGATGAATACATGGATCCATTTCAAGAACCTTCGTTGACATCTTCTTCGTCGTCGTCGTCGTCGTCGTCGGCGGCTGACAATACCTTAATTGTTAGTCATCAACAGATGAGTACTTGTCAAACGGTATGCGCCTGCAAGTGGAAAGGTGGTAAGCAGACGGTAGAATGCATTGATCGCTTGCTTATCAAGATACCGGATAATATTGATCCCTCCACGCAAGTGCTGGACATGTCGGGTAATAAGCTGCATACGCTTCTGAATGAGCAATTCGTACGCGTTAATCTCCTAAATTTGCAAAAGTTGTATTTACGTAGTTGCAAAATCGAACATATCGAACCGCATACATTCAAAGGCTTGACCAATTTGGTCGAGCTAGATTTGTCGCACAATTTGTTGATGGCCGTGCCCTCAATGGCTTTGGGTTATATATCGTCGTTACGCGACTTAACATTGTCGTCGAATCGTATCCATAAAATCGAATCAAAGGCGTTTGCCGATACTCCTGCACTTCATAAGTTGGATTTGTCACATTGCGATATACAACTGGTCGCTCCGCAGGCTTTCGAAGGCTTACATGGTCTCACTTTGTTGCGTTTGAATGGTAATAAATTGAGTGAATTAGTTCCAAAGACAATCGAAACCTTAAGTCGTTTGCATGGGATTGAATTGCACGATAATCCTTGGATGTGTGACTGCCGTTTGCGTGACGCAAAACTTTGGCTTATGGAAAAGAATATACCGTATCCTGTAGCGCCGGCCTGCGCAGGAGGCCCGGAGAGGGTAATTGATCAAACATTCAATGAACTGAGTGTCAATGATTTTGCCTGTAAACCAGAAATGTTGCCGGTTGGTCATTACGTAGAGACAACTATGGGAGAGAATGCGTCTATGTCATGTCGAGCTAAGGCCATACCTGAACCTCACGTTAGCTGGTATTGGAACGGTCGTCTATTGTCAAATAATACCGCCTTTAGCTCCCATCAGAGACTACACATTTTAGAACATGGTGGCTTTGAAAAAATATCGCGTTTGATTTTAACGAATGCGCAGGATATCGATTCCAGCGAGTTTTACTGTGTGGCCGAGAATAGGGCCGGATCTGCCGAATCAAATTTCACTTTACATGTACGAATGCGGGCCGCCGGTATGGCTTCTCTTGGTAGCGGGCAAATCGTGGGTTTGAGCGCTGCTCTTGTCGTTCTCATAATTTTCGTTTTGTTCTTTGTCTTGTTTTTGCTGCTGCGCCTGAAACGAGAACCTTATACCGCCACGAAAACGCCCAATCACCTTGAAGTCATAACGAGTATTAATCACCAAAATATGATTATAAATAAAACTCAACCATTATCAATGAATGGAAGTACGAGTGGGACATTATCGAATGGCTTGGACTCTAAAAATAGCTTAGATGATGTAAGGGATGGAGTAGAGAAAGAAAATGCCGCTGGCACGTGTGCCAACCCACTACAGAAGCCACCCCGTCTAACGGACATGACGTACGCTACTAATAGTTATGATAAAGGTGCTGGGAGCATACTTGCTACAGCGTCTTGCTTCATTTCACCGACAACTTCGACGGGTAATAATCCTGATTTGATAAACGATACTAAACGTTTTGAAAGCGAAGAGTTTTCTGATTTGAAAATCTCAACCAATCTAACGAAGCAACTGATCGCGGAATTCGCCAGCATTGCTAATAGTGGTGATTATAAAAGAGCAGGTGGTTGTGATTCATTATACCCCTCGGGTTTGTGGGAGAACGTGCCATCCGTTGGATGTACTTCATCAGCTGATGACTTATTTCTGCGCCATTACACTGACAAAACGCCTATCATGGAAACGCATCAGTTGTACGATATACAGGACAACACTTCGAGTAGCGAGAATTTCAGCAAAACTTTCCCGCGAACAAATTTCAATCACAATCCATTGGTTACGGAGGATGGTGTTAACATGAATACGAATTCTCCTTCGTCGGCTATGTTTTTGCGTGGATCCGACTCAACAGCATCAACCACAACCACAAACCTATCCAATTCGGGATCAGGCATAATGGGTGGCTATCCCCATGACTATGGTCTGCCCCTAGTACCGGGAGCTGAACTGCAACATAACCATCATTTGCAAATACATCCTTTGCAAAAACAGTTGGCAAGTGGTACTTTGGGGCGGGGAGCTAATGTTAATAATTTCAGTAGAGTAACAATAAACAACAGTATGTCACCGTTCACAAGTCGCACTTTACCGCGTCAGAAAGCCAATGTAACTGTCGATAGTTTAAATAGTTCAAGATCCTCACCTGTACATACAAATGGCATTGCTACAATGTCTCCGGCCCAAACGAACACGCAGACATTGAATGCGAAAACGATACGAGTTTGGCAAAAAGGAGGAGTGCCCGTCTTACCACCTGTTTCGGCATTAAAGCGAGCACTGATCAGTAATAGTCGCAACTCACCTGATGAAGGCTATCAAGAAGGTTGCGGCACCGACGTATAAGTATTTAAATATGCTTTACAGAGGAAAGAATAAAATTTGTGAAGATAATATAAACGCATATGTACATATTTTGCATATCCGCCTGACTGAATTTAAATTGAATCTAATTAAACTCTGAATTATGTATGCACAGGTATATGTGAACAACAAAAAAAAGCAGACATTCTTAAATTAAAAAGTCTGTACGCGAGCGATAGCCGTCATATACAAAAGTTCAAACTGAACGAACTATATATGCATATATACGTAGAGTATTGGAAAGTTGCTGCAAATGTTGCTAACATGAACGATGTTAGCATCGATAGAACTGTGTGATAGTGTTGTATAAGAAAATAATTAGATTATCGTTTCATATAATTATGATAAGAGTAACAATAAACAAATTTAACTCTGCTAGATTCACGTTATATAAAAGCTAAAGAGGGTTAAGGATTTGTAAGTATGTAGCATATATATATATATATATATATATATATATATATATATATCGCTTCTATACATTGTTTATATTCTATAGGAAACTTTAGTTGAATCTTCCCAGTATACTAAAAGAGAATTTGGGTCACTTTGTAACATACTATAATTAAAGTACATCTACTCATTCACTTACTCGCTATACATATCTGAAAAAAAGAAAAAAAAAAAACAAAAAATCCCTCTGGTGAGGGCAAAATTATATGTAAATATATATACATATGTACTCGTACACGTATCCATTAATTTTTTTTTTTTTTTTTTTTTTTTTTTTTTTTTTTTCCTTTTTGCTTTTTTTGTGTTCTTGTAGTCTTAAGTTGAATTAAATTATGTTGGAAACGTATGTGAGTTTTTAGATAACAGCGCAAAAACAGTCAGTTTTATTTCAGTTCATTTTAGTTCAGTTCAGTTCAGTTTAGTTTAGTTTTCGTTTAGTTTAGCTTATAGTTTAGTTCAGCTGAGTGTTGAAATTGAACAATGAACATTAGTAACATTTTCACTGAATAAGCAATTCATATATGCATATGCAGCGGCATATGTACTTACACATGCATGCATTTATTATTATTATCTTTCTTCTGAAACTAAGTATTCAATGTTAAATTATTCTTTTGTTTAAGTTTTGCTCTTGTCTTTTAAAGCATTTATATACTGTCTGTATGTTATATTGTATGTATCTATGCTTATATATACATTTGTATATATACATGTATACGTTAATATGTATGTAAATTTGAACGTTTCAATGTTTAAATGCTTGAATGTACATTTCATAAAAGTTTCATAAAGTTGTATGTTTTCTCATTAAAAAGTTGCAAATGGAAAACGGCTGCTTGAAGGCTGTATACCTCCTTCGCAGAAAAGAAGAGAGTTGATTAAATAACGATTTCATTTTATTTTAAGTTCTCTGAAAATTTATATTTTCATCTGCAATACACACACACATACACACACACACACACACACACACTTATAAAAATAAATGAAACGGTAAAGAAGAACTGAGAAAATGTATGATTATATATATATATATATAGAACTATGTACATAGCATGTTATCATCACCATACATATGCATGCGTGTTTACGCGTATATACATACAATGGTCTATGTGCATGTATGTGAAATTGAAATTTATTAAAAATTCGCGTAATACACGTAAAACCGTAAACATATTACCGCAAACGTAAACACATACTAACCATTTTAATTCCTTTTGCTGCTTTTCGATGGCTTTCCATGGTCCGTATGCACACAAAGCAATCAACTCACTGACGGATGAGTAAGATTTTACTCTTTTTCTTTTTTATTTCACTATTTTTTCTTGCGCTATTGTTTTATTTGTTATTCCTTTAATTTGGTATACGTTGGCAACTGTTGAATTGCTGTTGTCATCACTTTACTACTCTTTTTTCGCTTGTTAATCGCGAAGATTTCTTAATATTTTGCAAGAAATATTTAAATAAAATTTAAAGAGAATGACTGGCGTCTTCGCGCTTTACTAGCGTAACTTTAAACTATTGTTTACATTATGTTTTGTGAAATTTCGTTGACTCAAACATAAACTGAAATGCTTTAAAATTGTAACGTGGTTCAGTGAGTTGGCTCAAAGGATTCTACGAAAGATTTCTTTTTAGTTTTAGGTTAACACATTGTGTATTCGTTCATATAGCGAATGATTGCTGCCCATCTGTAAATTTTGTCTATGGTCATCAACTAAGCATGTGTGGGCCAAATTTGATATTTCAAACAATACTTGCAATCATAATCGTTCGAAGTACGGATTTTTTTAAAAGGACTGGATGTTTTCTACGCGTCTAAATAAGGCGAAGGTACAAGGGTTGTTAGTGAAATGAGGTCGGCAACAGGCAAAATAGATAGGCTCACAGACTGATAGACAGACGGTTCTGAATTAATATGTAATATATTTCTCGGTACGAATTGAAGTAGTAGTAGTAGTAGTAGTAGTAGTGAACAGTTATATAATTTAAGAAAAAAGTAACATTCTCATAATATGACTACGCTGCCATTTCATTTAATATGTTAGGCATTCTAAAGGGTATCGAAAGCACACGTTATTAACAATATGAATTCTGATCTTTTAAAGGCTGAATACGTTTCTAGAATAGAATTTTACAGTATAGATTCCCGTATTCGATGCTATAATTAAGCTTAAATATGCCTTGTCGTGTACTCTGTAAGTTTCATAAGACAATCGATGAATATTCTATTACATATAGATGTATATATATATGAAAACTTAAAAGAACACTTGAAAGAAAGCAAGAATTTTCACTCCGAAGAAGATAATGAAAAAACCTAAAGGGCAAACTTATTTTACTTCTTATTTTGATAGCGCGTCTAAGAAATTTCTAAGATATTTAAAATGTCAGATGTTATGGATGAGTGCATGCAAGCATGACCTTCACTCATTGTAGAGGTTCTTATTCTTGCCATATTCATATAAAAAATTTTCAATATATAATGTGATTGAAGGACTATTAGCTTAATGTGCTTATATCATGTTTATTTGGTTTTTTTTTTTTTATTAATATTTCACATTTACTTTATTCGAGACTCGATTTTGTTCCCCTGAAGGCAATGCTTATAGCATTTCTTTTAAACGATTCTATATATATATCAAATTTTTAGACTAGCTATAGCAATGCAATATAGAGTCCCTCGCATGCTTGAATTACATAACAACAATTTGTTGAACCTTCTGGCTATAAGAGGAGAATTGCGTACTTGTTGATCATATTTAAGCGATTTGAGCTTGAGTCTTATAATCATTTTTGAGCATTGTCGATACTTCCGTTCATGAGTAACTTTACCTAATTATGCGAATCTTTTCTTATTATTTAATAAATTTTCGTTAAATTGTTTAGTTCGCTTGGTAAGAGTCTCCTGTATATGGCAAAAAATTATTAGTTAGCATAAATAAAAGTTTTGCGCTATTGAATGTGAACATTTGACTGCAGGTTAATCGCGCTCTCATTGGAAAGCAATTCGGGTTAAACTCAATCTTGCTTTAGTATATATATGAGAATGGTGCAAGCGTAGCTTGTGACGGCGGCAAATTCCATTCAAAGCTCTATTCTCATATTCATCATTTTATCAAAAAGGATGTCACACTCAGAAAAAGTTTTAAACGCCCTGTAAACTATATACGCTCGTGGTTAGTATCAAATTCTCATTCCGTAAATATTTGCAACAAACACTATCCTGTTCGCAAAAATCCAAAATTTCTAAAAACATTGGAAGTTCTTACATGCAAGTTCGGCCGTAAGGATTACTTAGACGGTACGTGCGTACTGACTAACCGAGTGAGCAAACGCCATTTTGTCAAAGAACACCATTACAGTATGGTAAACTAGGAGCGCCGCTGTTTCAAAAATCAAAATATATTGGGTTTTGCTTGTCAATCTTAGCCTAATACAGATACTACGATAAAAGTCTTCACATATTTGTACATTTATATACTTTGGATGATGGTAGCGTATCTATAAGTAAATTGAAAAAAAACGGCTACTCTTGATTATTATATTGAATATAAATTTTTTTATTTATTTATTTATTTTTCTAAATTTTATTTTTCTAAAGTTATTCTCCTCATCTATTTTCGTCTTAAAACATCAAAGTAACAAAACTGCTCTAACATTGGTGGGTTAATATGGTAGCGAAATCGCACCATTGTCAATTTGATCTTGTCGTCGCATAAAGACATCGCTTTTGCAAGAACGTTTATAGGGGAGGAGCTTTGAAAAATCATTTCATTCTATTTACATTTTCCGCGTTCACTTTGCATAATAGAATACTATCCACATGTGTCACATGCTACTATTCTTATTATGTCGTATATTAGCTTAATAGGTAAGAATTGCGGCTACCAAGTCAGTGTTTGCGGTTTCAAATCTTAAATGCGCTAAAAGTTACTTTTGTCATAGCTAAAGTGATTGCTGCGGCCATCACATTCCCTATCTCTTTCATTTTGCCCACTTTCTTCCGATCATCACAGTGCTACACGATTAGGGAACCAGCTCTGAGTGATTGGCTCATATTAAAAAAAAGATATGTAAAGACTTCTCTTAAACATGTCGCAATACGTACGGCGTGATCATAAAACTTGTTTCATGCAAAGGAGCATGGTTTCCTTGCAAAGGATGCCAGTGTACGTAGTTTCGTAAAATTGTTTCAAAAATTAGGATATCTCGGTAAAGTGAGAAATACAGGGATGTATTTATACAGACAGGCAGCTGGACATGCTAAAAGACATTCCAAAAATAGAACAGAGTGGATTGGTGTCACCTACGGTCCGTCAAATCTAAATTGTTCTGAGCGTCGAGCACACATCCTCAGCAAATTTAACATAATTTTTATAACAATAAGTGTGTGACTGTTCTTAAAAAGATTTGCCGACATCCTAAATATGCCTTCATTTGTAAGTCATCATTAAAGCATTCTACGAAAGGAAAAAATGCGTTGTTGTTTCTGAAGCTCGGACATAACATAATGAAAATTTAACGCTTATGGAGTAAATATTTCATATTGAGTTTTTTACTAATCCCAGACAAAGCTTAGGATCGATTTAACTCATCTTCGAACTTAATTTGACGAGAGAGGGAGGCCAAAAGATCTATTTGCTAGACAAACCCATAAATAAAAAACCTAAATATTTATAATTGTTGTTCATTAAACTTTTTATTCTTATTTTTATGCGGTCAGTAAAATAAATGCTGAATGACGTTAAGTAGTGAATGTTTGTTCCTCTCTCTCTCTCTCTCTCTTTTTTTTTTTTTTTTTATTTTATATTAAATTGAAAACGCAAAAAATGAAGAAAATCACTTTATTTCTCCTATAAAGTGAATTGCTTTGCAGTTTGTTTAAATAGAAAGAAATCAATACGCGTTGATTTTAAATTGAGTTAATAGGCGTAGGAATTAAATCAAAAGTAGGTT